GAGACACACAGGGGCCACTCTGCACCAGCAGCCCCACCTGGGAGACACACAGGGGCCACTCTGCACCAGCAGCCCCACCTGGGAGATACACAGCACCAATTCTGCATCAGCAGCCCCACCTGGGAGATACACAGCAGCCATTCTGCACCAGAAACCCCATCCAGCACTACTGAGCTTCCAAAATCTTATAGCTTGATCGTAGTAGTGAAGTTTGTTATTTACAGAAGTGGTGTATAAATACAGTTAAACTACAACATATGACATATGCACTAGAGAGACAGGGTGTTTTTATTAATTTGACTGACAAGAATTTTTACTCTCCAGAACCTCCTGTTTGATTTGGCAGCTGACCTGCCACCTGCCTTGATGCCAGGGCAGATCAAAGGCACGCACACTCCCTCACAGTTGCGTTACCGGGCCAGCAGTACTCTGCTTTCTGCACTGCAGTCCTTTACTGCACTAAAAGCCAGTGCAGTATGACTTTTTGAATCGGGACTTCTTGCATGGCGAACCACTAGGAATCACCGTGAAGGTGGTGTTCACCTAGGTATCGCCATCCCACTCGATTTCCACTGTACCTGCTTACACTCCCAGGGCTTTCTGGCTGTGACCACAGAAGGCTGGATTCTAACTCAAGACCTCCAAGGTCCTGCATTCTGAGAGGAGATAGCTGATGCTCTGGCTATTCAGGAGGCTTTTTAGAACAGCCTGTCCAGCCAGGTCCACTGCCTGGGCCATCAACACCACTTATAGCAGCAACCTGGTTTTCAATAGAGGTCTCCCATCATAGTGCTGGCTGAGCTGCTGTTGCTATGTCTTTCTTGCAACTTTTGCAGACCAGAAATATTGTGCATGAGGTCTTTTTAGCATACTGTACAAAGGTAACATATCTCGCAATTGAAATTCTATGTTTAACCATATATCTTCACATTCCATTGTTTTTTTAATGGCTTTCCCAGATGATGGAAATCTTCCTCGAAGATGGAAGCGATGTTAACACTTTTGGTGTTACTTTTTTTAAAGTAGGTTCTTTAAGATCGATTTTTCTCATCATCTGACGCCATGTTTGTAGTTTGTTTTTCTGCTGTTTGCATGTAACACTGTGCGCCACCAGTAGAATCATAACAGAACTTCAAATATTTCTCATTACCTGACTGTTATAGTCTAGAGGGTTGTAGTCACCGTCCTTAAATACTCTGCAGGACTCCAAAAACTCATCACGCATCTTACAAATGCCGTCACTGAACACTTTCCCTTTGCTTCCTCCAAACTCCAGCTTCTCCAGCTTCTGAAACTCCAGCATGATGAGTAATAGGTCCTACAAGTGCGGAAACAGCACTGTTAACAGGCCGTGCATCCAGGCGGTGCAGTTCGCACAGTACCTAGTGTCAACACAAAATGATTTGCTTTTTTACAGTACAAGTGCTTTCTGCTCTCAGGTTTGTAAATGAAAATGCAAAAACCATTTCTGGTTAGGAGCTGATTGCATGTTTTAGAAACTCCATTTAGCAACAATCTATCAGTAGCGTTCCATGTAGGTTTTTTTTTTAAATAAGCAAATACTTAGGATTTGCTATCCTCAGTGAGGACAACTAATTGTCAGTATTAGGATTAGCATCCTTCATTAAGAAGGAAACCAGTCACTTCATCACCAATATTCCTCAAAGACGCCACATGGGCAGTTGGTGCCTTACTGGGCGTGAGGTGCCTGCACTAACCCCAACCCTAACTCCAGCGCTACAGTTACCTCCACTTCAAGAAGACGTGCGAGGAGCCTGTCACATCGCGTGAACACCATCTGGGAGGGGAAGTCCCAGGGCTTGAACGTCTCTCCACTGCGGATGAAGCCTGCAAGCTTCTCTCTGCAGCTCACAAAAGTCTCCCTAAAACACCTGAAGACCTTCAGAGACGCCTGGACCTGCTCCAGTGCTTCCTCTGGTTCTCCTTTGAGGAGGTCTTCAGGTGACAAGTAATCTATAGCCTGGAATACAAATACCATGCAGTAAGACTGTCTTACTCCACGTTTTGCACTGACTTCTCATTTGCACAATGTACCATACAAACACCTGCATTCATATTTAAATTCAGATTATTAATCCAACAATCAAGATAAATAAAAATGTTTTTCTGCAAAGTGTTCAACGTACAGATAGGTACTGGATTTAAAGAATGTGTATGTCATTCCATGTGTTGCAAATAAAATGAAAGGAAAATAAATGTTTTGTATTGTTCTAAGATACAATAAATCACGGAATACAATAATTAAGCTGCTCTTAGACAGTCCTGATGTGTTTCTAACGTTAGTCAATAAATTTGCTATTAATAAGGAGCATTCATGTGTGAGTACAGTTCTTAACACGATCACATTGTATAAACCCTTTCAAAACTGTTTTTCTTCTCCTTGCAGAGAAGCTACTGGCAAGTGTCAGGACTGCGGCACAGCATGAAGGGACTCTTCCTCAGCCAGTACTGTGTGCGACCCGTGATTATTTCTTCTGGTCTGGCGCTGTGCACGCAGACCCATCAGAAACACCCGTTACCTGCTCGATGAGCAGGTTGCAGAATTCCTGGAGGAGGACGACGATCCGCGCGGGGGTGTGGAAGGACTTGCAGCGGGTCCAGAGGAGGCCCAGGGTGTGAAAGAGAGGAGGCAGGAGAGGCCGAAGCTGAGGGAACAGCGTGTCCTGCAGCAGAGCCAGGTGCCTGTGCAGTGGCTGCAGGTGCAGCTCCACATCCTGGGCCTCTGCCAGAGCTGGGGAGCAACAATTCCTTTAACATCCCTGATGACATTACAACATTAACATTACTCAAAACGGCTCGCTTTCTGTAGTTTGCACAATCAAGCTATAGGGTAAGAAAATCAGATTTGGCTGGTTGGTCAATTCAGCTTCTGGGCCTTGACGGCACCTTACACCAGCTGCTTAACAAGAGCTGAGGTGCAAAAAACATCTGAGCTTTTATTTCATTATTTTTATCAGGGGTGAGAGGGGTGCTGTGCTTGGTTTAGTCCATGTCTTTACTGAGCTTAAACGGAGAAGTAAATAAAAAAGAAACTGAAATGAAAACTAAACAAACAGGTCAAGCTTAACGAACAAAAGGTTTTCTGATTTAGTTAAAGCTGAACTGCATTTAAGAAAGTAAGCACCTCTAAACAATTCTTACCATCAGCTACATCCATAACAGTAGTCCTGAATGTGGGATAATAGCTGCTGTCAGTCATTTTCAAAATCTTCCCCATTTTTTGGACAACAGGGCTTTGAAGCTGGAATGAAACAGGTGTAATTAGGCAGCATGGTCATGAATTGCAAGATCATGGTAGTGAAGGTGGACGTTACTGTCCCCATCTGACTAGCCTGAGCTGGAACTGGACCGTAAAATCACAGACCTGCAACAAGTATTTCTGACTGAGTGAGGACCCGACGCCTCTGTGAATTCTGTCTCTTTTGCCACTTTCTGCCTCCCCCTACCCATTCTCACGTGTACCTTAATAATAATAATAATAATAATAATAATAATAATAATAATAATAATTAATAACTCCTCACACTTATATAGCGCACACTCCACTCCATGGAAATCCTTCTTCCATCCTCACCACTCCACCCCTTTGCCTCATATCTCTGCCCTCTCCTCCTCGCACCTCTCGGACAAAACTTTGTTTTTTTCTTCTTTTTACTTGTCGGAGAGGAACCGTCCCTGTTCCCCATTTGCTTGCTCCCGTCTTCCCTGCTTTCCGAGCTGTCCGTCTCCGGAGCGGCGGGAGAGCCCGACGAGACTCACCTGCGTGTGAATGCTCAGCAGATTCTCTCTTCTAGAGCTCCAGAAGTCCAGCTCAGCGCTGGGGCCTGGATTGAACCCCTCCAGGAGAAGCCCGGCAGAGTCTTCCTTCAGCACGTCTCTGATCTGGTGTGTCCAGCTTATCACCATGGACTCTGTGGCATGTATCACCGTCCTGTCCCTGTAATCTCGCCTGAAGGTAACAAAAACTAAATGGTAAAGGAAAGCCAGTTTGGAGACCCAACTTTATATTATCAATAGATTGAATCTTCCCCCTTTGTCATGTGGGACTGTTCATTTTAGGCTTTATATATATATATTTAGAAGCAAATGTTTATAAAAGACAAAGCCAAGCAGCTTTGGTATTTATTTTATGATGCACTTCTTAGAAATAACTTCTTGATTTTTTTGTCTTTCCAAAGCAAGGCAAAACAGGCAACTAAAAAACAACTGGGAATGGTCATCGCAGTGCAGGGTAGTGGTGTGTCGTACACATTGCCGCTGTCCGGCTGCGCTCCTCCGATCCTGGCTGTCGCAGCCGGGATAGGCAGGGTGGTCCGACCGGAGCGCTGCCCTTCCACCACAGACACCTTGTTCCTCAGACTCTCCACATGGCGAGAGACGTCCTGGGACGTGAAATTAGGCCACCCCTGGTGGTTTCTTCTGTTGGAAAGAACTGGAACAAAAATCTAGAGAAGGCAGAGAGACAAATGACGACAAATCTTCCGAAACACTGCTAGATCTTCGCTGATACTGTTACAATGAACTGCTATGAATTTCAGACCCAAACATGACCTTTTTCCTTTCTTATCTTTTTCTGAGCTGATAACTAGAATTGGAAAGCAATTTAAGAATGCACTGCAAATATTGTATCGTTCCTCTGTCTTTGTAATGATCCATTTCACTGACTGCTAGTTTAAATAGCTTTGTCCTTGTGAGGTATCTTGTAATTGTTACTTCTGAAGGAGCTGTATATTATCTAGTACACTATTACGAACACTTCCCCAGGAAAAGACAGAGGGAGTTGCGGGAGATCTCCCAACACATGCTGCCTCTCAGTGTTAATACCTCTGAGCTTTGGTCCATTGTGATCCTGCCTCTCACTAGATTGATTAGATGAATAGCAAAGTGCTGGAGAGAACCATACAGTACATCTGCTAGCATACTGTTAGCAGTGGAGTCATTTCAGTTGTTCCCTTTTTTACAGCAGTGTACCTTCAGAGAGGACTAGGAAGACAGTCTTTAATGAGTCACTTTTTTCCCCCAAAGGTATTAGTGCTTTTACTTCTGGGAAGAATGCATACACTGCACCACAAGACACTGGAGTATTAGTGAATATCCCTTATGATGTCACACAGAGTCCTCTTCAGACTGCTCCAGCCTTTCCTGCTGAGGGCTCAGGGAACTGCAGTACATGCACCCCAGTTTTGCACACAGGTGATAACCCCTGGAAGAGTGAAGGAACACAGCTGAAGTGCTCTTACCTTTTCAACAGTGCTGGACACCTGCTCCAGCAGCGACAGAGACACAGTCCCGAACAGCAGCGATGTCTTGTAATTGTCAGAATGAACGCAGCCGGCCCTCTTCTTAAGAACATACACTCCCCTGTGTTTACAATCTGCCGAGACCTAAGCCGAAGCACACCGCTCATTAGTTTGACATTAAACGCTTCGTTGGAATCTTCTAAATATATTTTAGGTAATCTGAATTCGCAGGTAAAACCCCAGCCACAAAGGTTAAAGTATTCCTGGGGTAAATATTTCGGTGTAAAGGGTCGTGTGAGGGGTCTCTTTTTACTGCTTTGCTAAAGTAAGACATTTAACTGCGTAAAGTGGGAAGAAGTCATTAAACGCATTTCCATTATCGTTAACATAACGGCAGACAGCAACAGCCTTACAGCATCTTAAATTTACCTCACGAGTAGCAGCCAAAAGGCCGGCCGATGTGATGTAAAATACCAACATCCTGTTGGTGTCCCTCTCCAGAAAGTCGCTGAGAACTGCCTGATTCTCCTCCAGGGCGATATAGCTGTCCCATTTCTCCGACTTCACTTTTAGTGACTGGCAGAGTTTGTTGGCGACAAATTGCACCCTTTCATCTTCTGCGAAACTGGGGACCTGTTCCTCCTCATCGTCGTCTGCCATTGTTGGGGTTCAGGCAGTAGTGGGAACTTGAAAACACTCGAAGTTCAATTTAATGGGCGAATCTTCGGGAAGGACTGGGAGTCTGGGTAGAGCTGGGGCCTCGTGTGGCTACAGTCACACGGGGCCAGTCAGGATAGGTAGGGACCCACGCTTTCGTTAACAGTGTGTAGTTCTGCGTCTTTTATGCTCCTTGAATCGGTGCAATCTGTGCAGCCGACTGATAGATGCGTCCGCTGAAATCTGCTTATGCGTCGTTCTTTAGGTCTTAAAGGAGTAACAGGCCGGTCCGTTCAACTGTGTTGAAGCCATGGGACTGGCAAGCGGGCAGGAACTGCTGGATGCAAGTACGAGCTCTAATGAAAGGGAAAGGATCGGTGGGCGTGGTAGCGTCTTGTTTCCCTGGAAATAGTGTAACTATTTCAGCTGTATCTGGCCCTGCCTAGCTGCGCGCCCCATTCACGGAGATCGGCCCCCGGGGGGGTGGTTATCTCTACAAGCTCGAAAAAAAAAACAACTGCAATGCTTCGCCGAAGTTCCTGTACTGACGCACAATGTAAACGTTTAGATTTTTTACATCAATTAAAAGCGTTCGTACATAATGTTAGTCCCAGTTTAACTACTGTGGTGAGCGGAGAGGTATGTCGATCGTTTTGAGCAGAATTGTGAGTGCTCCAATTTTATTGCGTTAGAGGGAATGTCGTGAAAATAATTGTTTCGTATTATTAAATATAGACGCTAAGGAAGTGCTGGTTTGAGTTGATATTGTATGCAGTATACACATTCCGTAGAAATGTTATAATCAATTCACCGTTTGCATAATGCAGGCAATAAGGGGAGTTCTGGTTTAGACCCCGGGACGCAAGAAGGTGGGATGTCTCGGGTTCAAACACCCGGCTCTCGGGTGTTTTCAGCACAATATTCGGTATACACAGGTTCATAAATTATTTCATGCTAATAACTGTGTGGTATTTAAAATTATAATCAGGAGATACAGTAAAGTAGTAGGTTGTGTAGCCTACTATGCTAATTGTATTTCTTCACAGAAGAAGGTAAAAATAGGTTTACTCTTTTAAAACTCTTTTTTAATTTTTTCATTAATTTACTCTTTTTAATGTCCCTGCTCCAAAAACCCTCAGACCTCAGACTGCAGAGTAACCTCATCTAGTCCTGGACAGTAATTAGGCTTTTTGGTGGTATATCCTCCCTGTGATTTCCACATCCATTAAATTTAATTTCTTCCACATAAGGGAGTCGTTTATTTCCTGTAAACTAACAGGGTTCTGTTCAAAGGAATGAGCTAAGGCAATCTGCAGGAGACTTACAGCACTGCTACTGTAACGATGCTGCAAATAGATTGACTGTAATCATCAATTTAGGATATTTCATTAATTGCACATTCCACTGCATCTCGACCCCCTTGCAAGATAGAAAATGGTGTGCATGCTCAGTGACCACTCAAGAGTAACATGAACAGGTGAACTCTGGGGGCCAGCAAACATCTGAGGTGGCAGAAAAAGAGTCGGAGAGTGTTTTTATTCACTGATGAACGCTGCTTTGCCTTTGACAGACTTCATGGGAAGTTAAGTGTGGAGGTGAGCGTTACGTGCCCGTCACATCGATCAACTCAGCCTGCTGTGCATTGGAACTGTGTTGATGTGAAAGCAGAGTCTCCCCACACAGGTTCAGTTCAGTTTATTTGTCATATGCACAAGGGCAATGAAATGCTTATTTACGTGTCTGCTCCTATACAAAGACATTAAGGAATCGCCTGAACAAACACAGAACAGCAGCAGCAACAGCAACAACACATTAAATAACATACAACTTAAAAAAAACAAGTCAGCACAAGCAGTGTGAGAAGAGGAAAAAACACACCAGTGTGAGCAGTAATGTAGGTGTAGTAATGCAGATGAGTTTAGTCAGTGGCAGGGGTAGAGTTCAGTAATCTTGACAGCTTGCGGGAAGAAACTCTCTGAATCTGGAGGTTCGTGCCTTTGATGCAGAATCAGTGACACACTGATGAAGCATGTGAGCCAGGAGCGTTTCTTTTCCGTCCCAGAACTGTTTTCCAGCAGGGCAATGAAGACCACCGCCGTCCTAGGATTACAACGGCACAGCCGAAAGCTGTGGGCTTTTCTCCTGACCCAAGAGCGACAGAGCGTCTGTGGCGGCGGCTGACCAGCGCCATCATCACGACACTATCCACGGCCATCCAGCCGGTCATCGCCGGCTGGGGGCACCTGTGCAGGAAGAGTGGTGAAGTGGGGGAGCAGCAAACGGCAGTTGTCCGGAGGCAGATCCAGTGTCTAAAAAGGCAAGTGTCAGAAGGTGTCCACAGTGGGAAGACGTTCAGTATTTCTTACCTTCTTGACTGATGTGTAATTTTAAGGAAAGATATTTATTCTAATCCTGTCAACAATTTGGTATTTTATGAGTAAACTACAAGATCTACAAACCCTAATGACCAAACACACACACACACACACAAAATATAAGATTTTATTTTAAAGTTTTATTTAGTCACTTGCAAATATTATGCAGGCAACTTTTTTTTTTAACTTTTTTGTCCACAAATCACTTTTGTACAAATCGTTTTTAAAAAAATGTCAATAAACCAAAGCCTTTAAGGCTTATCTGGCAAAATCTGTTATTAAACGTCATGATGACACAAACAAAAGTTTTAGAAAAAGATTTACAAATGAGATGCTGCTAGAAAATATTAAGGAAAATTATCTGTCACACAAAATCTTACCCAAAAACATTGCAATTGTTTGGTATCAATTATCCTGTTTTAAACAGTTTTGACATTTTTATTTTTTTACACATACTTGTGTAAGAGAAAAGCAGGTTAAATTAAGATGGCATTATTACATATATAATAAGACCACAAGGTTAAAAATTATCAGTACAATACCTGAATATATAAACATAAATAAAACATGCTGCTCATTATATCCTGAATAGGAAAACTTACAATACACTACAGCTTTGTTTTTCAATTTGCAAAAGGCAAATAAGAACATAAGGATAAATAAACCAGAAGGTACACAGTCACCTAATGCTGCCATTATATATATATATGAATATAACTGAAATAAGATCTCCATAAACTAACATCTATAACGGCACTGGCACAACTTATTTTAACATCATAATTGCTAATTGGGCCTGCTCTAAGACAATGCGAGACAGAGGCATCAACATTACAACAGGAAAAGGAATGGAAAAAAAACAAAGCACAAAAGGTCATTTCATTCAAAGCTATTGCACACCTGTGCCCGCCTTCTCCTGCGCCTGCAGCAGCTGCTGCCCGCATGGGAATTGGGCACCGTCTTACATCCCTTTGAAGACACACTAGTGGACTTGGAACACAACCTCACAATGAACATCAGATTCTTCACAGGGGAACCAAAGTAGGTATCTGCAGGCCCCTCTGGTTATCTGGAGCTGGAGAGTGGGTCTGCATCTTCTCTACATATTAAGGCGATTTAGTCCCTAATGTGTTACTTTAGTATCTTCAAATGAACAGAAAAGCAAAACATACTTTTAAATTCTATTGAAAATGAGGTGAGTGTAACAAACTGCCTTTAATATAAAAGATCAAAGCGTGACCTTTGTTTTCTAATGTAAACATGGTTTCAGAAAGATTGTCTTCAGAGTATCACCTCCTTAGTAAAGCACAATTAAGGAGGCAGCTTACATCTTTTTGTTAAAAAAGTCAGCATTGTCCGTTTCTAAAAAAAAACGTATGCGATATTTATAAATTTGTCAGTCTGTGCTTTTTTTCCTCTCAAACTAATATCATTTTTCCCAAGTTAATGGAAAGAGCCAACTGATCAGTTCTTCAGGAAAAAGATTTAATGAGACACCGTCGTATGCCTCTGCTCTAAGGGCTTCTACATGCTGCTCATGTACGGACAGATGGACCCTTTCACTGTGACCCCTCCCTGGTTTTCCCAAGTGAATGAAAAGAACCCCCCCGGGCTTCAGCGTGGGGGGGTCACTCAGCTCTTCTGCAGCTGAGGTGAGTTTGAAATGAAGACTCTCCTGTCTTCCTCTGTCTGTACCCTTGGTCGCGTCCGAAGACTGAAGTCTGTTACGAAAGACACACCAGTAAACTAAAACTAATGCTTGCTTTAACTAATGAGGTCAAGCTAGAAATCATTTTTTGTGCATAGAAATAGATTTCCCCCCCAAAAGAACGACCCTTCCTAGTGGCACACTCATTACCCTCACACTGGCATTACCCAGTCATTGTGCTTATCGGACTCTCGATATAGACATCTTTTTTAAAGATTTTTTTTTTTACTAGACTTTTCTCAGTACATATTCTTTCTCTCTCATAAAAAATCTGATGTGCATGAACATTTTTTTCTTCAGTCCACTTTCATATCTCGAAAGGCATGTGACCTTGGGTGCGAGCGACGCCCAGACCCGACTCCGCGGGCTAGAACTCCTCCATGCCACTGGAGGCGGTGGGCGTGGTGGGATTGGAGTCCTGGGAGAGCGAGGCCACAGTGACAATCCTGGGGGAGCCCAGCACCTCGTTGACTGTGGCCTCCATGTCCTCTGTGGTGACAATGGTCAGGGCTGCTCCACCCTTCTTGTTCTGGTGCGTCTTGATGTGCTTGGAAAGGTGATCGCTCCTCATGAACCTTTTGGAACATTCCGGACATTCAAATCTTTTTTCACCTGGGCACGGGAAAAAAAAACAGGGGACTGCGATGAGAAACAGGAAGCTATTGAGATTTCCTTCTTGCGGTATCAGAAAACCAGAAGATGTGTTAGTATGTCTAGAATGAATTTCCTCCCCAAGTATCATGCTGACCACTATCAAGTCGTTTTCGTATTTTGCAGAACAAACGCTTCAGCATCGCTGTATTGGTGAATTATCGAGGCCCTTCATGATTTGTCAAAATGCTGCTCAAAATGACACTTAAAAAATAAATTTCAGAAGACTATGATAAGTATTCCTAGAAATAAACGTAAAATGTAAAAGGCCCTGATCTTATGTTATTACATGAAATATTCAGAACACATCTCAAAATGACTTATTCTGTTTAATATTTTCCGTGCTGCACTGAAGCAGTCATGGCACTAAGCGTGCAGAGCTAGGCCCCAGTCAGGGCAGTGGGGGGCCCCAGTCAGGGCAGTGGGGGGCCGCAGGAGCAGCAAGCATGCAACAGTGAAGTACTTCACTGGTCTCCGTTCCCCTCTTACCTGTGTGTGTCCTGCGGTGTCTCTGCAACTCATCACTCCTGGTGAACCTCTTCCCACAGAAGATCCAGTTGCACACGAAGGGTCTCTCCCCCGTGTGCCAGCGCAGGTGAGCGCGCAGGTGCGACGTCTTCCCATAGACCTTCCCACAGCCCTCGATGTGGCAGATGTGTTGCTTCTTCTTCCCGGGTTCACTGTTATTCCTGGGGGGGGGGAGACATCAACAGCAGAGAGAAAACAAATGATCCAGCGTCCCTGAGATCAACCGTCTCTTCGGTTCTCCGCTGATTCTCTTGGGTAGTGCCGTGAATTACGGGTGTGGACAGGACAGATGGAGGTAACCCAGCCATGCTGTTGAAGCCGATACCCTGGTTTCTTGTAGGAAACAGCCGGGCGAGGCGCTGGGATCAATTAACTACCAACACCCTAATTGACCAAATGGGCTGAATAACCTCCTCTGGTCTGTTACTGTTCTCCCATCACCCGACAGGCACTTTATCGACACAATGTGTTCATGCAGCCGGGGTGCTCGGGGTGGCCACAGCGGCTGTCGGAGAAGCCTGGCCCTTCGCTCAGGTGCCTGCCCGTGTCCTCCGAGCGCCCCCCGCGGGCCGGAGCGAGGACAGAGCGGGGGCGGGCCGGCCGCACTTGCCTGCCCTCGCCGTCTCGACAGTTGGGGCAGGAGCAGGCCACCCTGCGCAGGCGCTTGCTGGGCTGGCCCTCCTGGTCCGAGGCGGTCTGGCCCTGCTGGATCTGCACCTGCGCGATCTGGTCGGGGCTGACGGCGCTCAGGGCCGCGTTGGTGATGTTGCCCACGGCCACCGTCACCGGCGCGGGCTGCACCTTCACGCCGTCCTGGCTCTGCGGCTGGCCTGGGGTGGGGGGGGTAGACAAGGACACGGGTGAGCACCGCACTCCCTCTCCTCCGTCGCACACTTTAACACGCTCCTCTCTTCTTTACAGCTGTCAGTGCAGGGACCCGAATTCATGACAGGACTGCAAAAGCATCAGTCTGAGAGCAGTGTGCTGATGGTTCTTAAACCGTGATGTCACAGCCTGCACATGCTTTTCCTCAGCTTGGCTACACAAGCAGTAAGTCCTGGGCGTTTATGGGAAATGCACAGTTCTGATGTTGGGGACTGTGCGTATTTCACATATAATTCCATTCTCACATCCCAGTTTTGACTCTGAAAATCTGCAGAGTATGAACTGTATAATATAATACTGTAGCTCCCAAAATGCTACCAGAAATACAGACCCCGGTTCCAGACAGGAACCTCCATAACCAACCCCCAGCTCTGCGCTGTACTCTGGGACTACGATGTACTGCTGAAGGTCAGAAGAAGAGTCATTGTGCTGCTTTGAGCAACACTGCTGACTGAACTCTTGAAGTGCCAGACTCCCAAGTACTGGTCAAATCCAACATCTGGGGAAAAGGTGTGCCACATGAAATATTACATTTGGTCTCTCTGCGATCCGCTCACAGTGCAACTGGATCAGTAAGGTATTTAGCCTAATGGACTGCACCGTGCAATCTGGGCTCTTTGTTTGATCTAATTTACACTACATTTTGGAATTTGTTGTTGCCTGTTGTCGCAACTAATGGACAGAAACTGAAGTTGGTCTACCCAGCCAAACAGAAAAGGCGCAAAGAACAGAGCTATTTGTTTTAGCTGATGTAAGATGCAAGACTGCACATTCATAACAAATATGCGATTTCTCATTGTAAGAATCTTTTAAAGAACTGTATTTTCAGTATCTGGAAGGTGTTTTCAAAGCTGCTCGTCTTTATAATTACAATCCTAGCTAGTACTAGGTTGAAAAATGTTCAGTTTATAAAGAAGATAGAAAAGGGTTTTTACAACTGTTCAACACAAGCACCTTTTCAATAACAATGGATGAGTCAAGCATCTTGTACCTGAATACAGATACATACTACTAAATATAAGGGGTATTACTCCGGCACAATTTATTGAATCTATTCAGTTTGAAAAGCAGTTGTTTTGTGACTACAGAAGCAAGACTATCACAATTGTGTAGTTTTTCCACTTTATTCATTCAATAACAAAAAACTACAAAATTACTACAAAGAACATGCCATTGACAAGCAGTTCAAATGTGCCTGAATGCCTGCAGTCTTAAAGCTTGTAAACAGGTTTGGAATCCTCAAGCATATTCATCAGTGACAAAACCATAAAACACAACAGTATAATGTCTTGTGTTTGCTGTTATCACTATCGCCCCTGTCCGTCTGCTGCTATTTGCCCAACACTAAACACAGTTTGAGGGGTAAAACGTTGTCAGGGTGAATTTAAGCCAAGCAATTGCACAATCAGAGAGTCAAGCTTTCCTTTAGCAGCTGCACTGCACACAGTAGATAAGCGCTACAATGAAACTGAATGGCCAGGTCATGATTTACATGGTTACCATAACCCGAGGAACAGAATGGATTCACATGAAATCCCTCAGCCATGCACACCTAGAATGGAAGTTTAAGTTAATGCCCACTCCTGTCTCAAGTGTCACTATATACACAAAGAAATGACCTAATGACCTCTTCACAAAACATAACAGTTTTAAATGAAGGGGGACGTGAGGACCATCTAGCCTGTTTGCCATTGAATTTATCCAAGGATCTCACACAGCTGATCACAGAGAGACGTTAGGGTGCCCGATTAAACAACACGGCTGGGCAGCTTGTTCCCCCCTCCCACAACCCTTGGGGTAAAGAGGCGTCTCCTGTTCTCAGTCTTTAAACACCTCTGGCTTGAGATTCACTTTGATTGTGATTCCTCTGATGGCTTTGCCAGGCCACCTCTGTCTTCTCTGTTTGAGACTCATGTGGTCCAGCTGCTTCAGCCTGTCAGTGTAGCACACTCCTTTCAAACCACAGAAGCTACTAGGCTGCTCTTCACTGGACTGATTCTAAAGTAGCAATATCTTTTATCTAACATCATAACCAAAATTGTATACTAAATTCACAATGAGATCATACCTGTTCTAACTACTAATTGTTTTAGTTTAACATCCAGCAATTTGAATTCTTCACTTTAACTATATATTCAAACGTTATATTTGTTTGTAAATGTTGCATATTAATTCATTCTAAATGTAAACAAACACCTAAACCATCCTCGTGCTGTAAGTAGTCTCTTCCAGGTTAGACTTTCCCCTTTTCGTATTTATAAACATTTCTGCTACCTGCGTATATATCCCTGCACGATTTGCAACACATTTGCCCAGCCTTGGGGTTCATCTAAATCTCTTTGTATTTAGTTTGTGGTTTCTACAGTGTTCAAACATCATCTTCCAGGTGTTGGCCCAGTCTTGAAGTCTTTTACTGCTACTACAGCTATATCATTGATATAATTTAAGAACAATAGTTGTCCTAGTATAGATCCTTGTGGTACACCACTAATTACACCACATCAACTTGAATTTATGTCTCATCTGTACCAGCTGAACCAATTCGCACTCCAAACACACGTTGCAATGGGTACCTACTGCCTCTAAGTTTGAGTATTAATCTTTCAGGAGGAACAGCTGCTGTTATGAAATGATTATGCTTGTACGACTCATAGATGTAACTCACAATATTACACAATATCACCCTGTAACTCACAACTGGCAGTCCACTGGAGGAGCTCAGGAGATGTGAGGCTGGTCAGTTCCTGGATGGGAGACTTCTGGGAAAGCTAAGAGGTGCTGCTGGAAGAGGTGTTAGCAGTAGGGGGCGCTCACCCTGCAGTATGTGTGGATCCTAATGCCCCAGTATAGTGACGGGGACACAGTACTGTACCCAAGGTGTTTCTCGTAAAGTGTAGAGGTGTCAACTCTGATATGCTAAACAAATTTCCCCCTGGCCTTTACCAGTCATGGCCTCTTAATAATCCCCATCTCTGAACTGGCTTCATCACTCTGCTCTTCTCCCCACTGTGAGCTGGTGTGTGGGGAGTGTACTGGTGCACTCTGGCTGCTGTCGCATCATCCAGGTGGGGCTGCACACTAGGGGTGGTGAAGGGGGTCCCCATTACCTGTGAAGCACTTTGAGTGGAGTGTCTAGGAAAGCGCTATATGAGTGTAAGGAATTATTTTCTTCATTAGCCCTCATCAACATTGTCATTACCAAACATGGAGTGTTGGTAGCCCTCACAAAGGATTTGTCAAGAAACCATGGCTTCAGTGACCTGACCTTTAACACAAATTGTGTTAAGCGATGGTTTATAATTACAGTGTGACTTTAAATTAATAATAACATGAACTTCACTTTCCTTATTAGTCAGACCTCTTAAAACCCCAAAACTCAGGGCCTCTCTAGGGTTTCGAGAATTGTGCTGCTACAACAAGCAATAATCATCCAGTATCAGAAAAACACTTACTCCGGGTGAGGGTTATGGCATCAAAGAGGGCACAGAGCACAAGATAGGATTACACCCTGGATGGGTGTCACAAGCCACGTGCGCACACACATATGCAGTATATTCACACACCACGCACACACATATATACACAGGCATGGAGATACAGGTCAGAGACACCAACCAACCCTACCACTGTGTGTTTGTGAGGTGGAGATGCATTTCTGACTGAGTGGAAAACCAGCATGAAAAATTGATCCATCAGAATCTGAGCTGACACTTGCCTTTGGGTATTTTAATGAGAAAAGGCAGGGTTAAAGAACAGCACCCACACTCACAGTACATCTGTGCAGCATGTGATCAGCTCTACAAGCAGCAGACTCTTCAAAGATATTTCTCAACACTGTTTCTTTCATCTTAACGGTTAAAATAAAAGAGACCTTTTACAGTGCAATAAAAATGTCTTCATGTCTTGAAGGTACAAGCGAAGAGGGCATCACTGGTATATTCACAGCTACGGTGCAATGCATTGTAAAGATATTTATTTAATGTTTTTAAATCCAGAAAATCTGCCAATCTTGAAATTAGCTTCGAGGATGTATTCAATGTATTTTTATAGAAATACAGATGATCTATTTTTCTGCTTCTACTGAAGAAGCATGGCCTAAACCATAAATCTCAAAATATTTCATAACCAACTGATTTTCTACTGTCTTGGTGATGTTTTTCTTAAAAATGCACATTCTTTTCTACATGGACTGATGGACTTTTGTATGCTATGCATTGGTTATTAAAAACAGATGTGTATTTTGAAGTCACTTTTTGGGACAGTACTTACGAATTGACCCCATTACAAAAGAGTAGGTACCCCTGGAGTAATATGCCACAATAAACATTTATGTGATTTTAAATATGTTTCATTTTTAAATAAATATTGTGTCATTTTGCTGAACTTTGTTAGAGCCATACAATGAGACAATGCTTAGGTAACTGTTTTTTGAAAAAATAATATTTGTAGGTTCATTTAAAATCAAAAGTAAAAAACTATAAAACACCTATCCTGCAAGATTTTAATGCTGCATTGGAGCTGCAGCACACAGGATGTGTTTCAGAATGACAAGGCTCAGGACTTCCTCTTTTCAGTTCAGTGTCACTTGCACGTGATTAAATCCTATATGTGATTATAAAACCTTCAATTTGTTCAGAAAAGTAACCAAAGGCAATGTATCATATGGACTTACACTGTCTGCTTTTATGTGTCTGGATACAACAATCTCAACTTGATTACTTCTTCCTTCTGGAATTACTACAGCACAAATCTGCTTTATAAAAGCCATGACGCTGCTACACTTCCTGCTTATAAAATTCCAAAATTGCTTGTATTTTTCTTGGATTCAGAAAATGCCATCCTGAACATAACATCTCACTGCTTACTTGCTCCACCCGCAGTCAAAAACACATACAGGCAGGACACCAATCTGGACATCTGCAATTGCTTTAAAATGCTGTGGGAGTCTGCGCCCTGTCCGGGTCTCTCATGTGGCTGCTAGACTCTACTGCTTCAGTCTGCGACATCACATCCAGGAGGGCGTTACTCCGCTGACTAAAGCTGCTTTGCGTCACAGACGCAGGATGGAGAGAAGGCGCAGCAGCGTCGAGAGCGCAGCAGCTGGTGTCTTTCATGTGTTAGAAGAGAGCTGTCCATCGGAAGAGTCATTTTGTCCCACTTTGGCTTTGCGATTACAAGACTATGAAGCGCACGAACTGAACGGGAATTAGCAGAGGGGTGCCGATGTGCTCAACAGCAACTGCGCATGACACTAAGGTAGCTTTTAGTCTTTTCCTTTCAAGTACTAGCAAGGTGTCATTTAAAATAACAAGCACAGTTCTAGTCACCACATTGTAGAAAAGATACGACTCAGATAAATCAAATAGGGGTGGCGCGATGACTGGGGTACCACAGGGATCTGTATTTGGACCACAGCTGTCAGGAAATTCAATCGATGGTCTAGAGTCCAGATTTGCAGGTGACACAAATTAGGATGACCAGCAAAACATTGTAGAAGCAGCGAAGTAAATTAAATCAAATCAATTAAAAAAATAATTAAGCAAAATCAAAGACCAGGCAAACCTCTGGCAGGTGATACTTCATATAGACAAGTGCAGAGCAAAAATATAAAATATAAATACAAAATTGGAAATGCTGAGCTAGAAGAGGCTACTTACGACAACGCTTTACATGTGACACTATATACTAGAATATATAGTTAGACACACATCATTTTAATTAAGGGATGTTATGTTACACACTACTTAGGTCACATTTAGAGAATTGTACACTTTGGAAAACATACTGCTGCTCTGGTAAATCCCAGAGAAAGGCAGCCAGACAGCTTCCAGTCCTTTAGGGGAATCTCCAACACCAACAGGCTGAACGTTTCTAGTCTTGGGCGGAGAAGACTACGGGGAGACTGAGTATACTGAAATACACAAGTTCACAATCCTCACAGTCAACCCCACGGATCTCTCCAGAATGAACGCTGAAACACAAACCAGAGGGCGCAAGCGGAAACCACAGGGGACTGTATTTACAGCTGGGAAACCAACCCACACATCAGGGCTGTGGGAGTCTGGAACAAGCTGCCCAGCCATGCTGTCGAAGCAAATAACCTGAAACAGCTGAAGGAGACCCTGGGATCTGTTAATGACTAACTACCAAACGAACGAGACGAGCCAAAAGGCCCCCTCTGGTCTAGAACCTCTTACATTCTTCAAGCTGTCATAAATGACAAGCACTAAGAGGAGGAAAAACAGCTAGTAGAGACGTAAGAAATCTTAGAAAATAAAAATTAAGAGAAAAACCTCCCTTTGCTGTGCCTCATACTGCCCCCACCAGTGCAGCAAGTGTAGCACAGGAAACACTTGTCCTCTGATGTCTGGATGTGTTTGCAATCACTTCCTTTGCCCACATATCAAACATTAATCATTTCTGTTACAAACAGTGGACTTTTGCATAGTCAAATTCATGCTGTTCTGATGCAGTGGTACCCATTCACCTAAAAGACATGATCCGAGACAAAGCTGTAATTGGAGCAGTGCCTCTTTGAAAACTGGCTGAGCTCTTCATGTGGAAAATACTATTGTCAGCAATAGTCATGTGCAATTCAAGGTCTTGGTTTGGATGCCAAACAACGCAAACATTGCAGCCAACTTGTGCAAACCGAATAGAAACAGGTTGTGAGAGTCTGGAACAAGCTGCCCAGCTCTGCTGCTGGAGCTGACACCCTGGTTTCTTCTTTGAACAGGTGAATGAGATCCTCCTACCAGGACAGGACGTGCTAATTTGCACAAAGGGTTGTGGGAGTCTGGAACAAGCTGCCTGGCAGTGTTGTAGAAACTGATACCCTAGTGTTTTTTTAAGACAGTAACATCTGGAAGTGATCCTTGGATTAATTAAACACTAAATAACAGGATCTGGGCCAGACTAACTTTTCTTATGTTCCTGTGAGAAATTAATGTTTGAACCAGCCGATGACATTTTGAAGGAGCGTTAATCAGGGACCACAGTGCATTTAAAAAGCTTTCAGCAAGGAGCATGGTGGGACATCTACACGTCACAGGGTGTAGATCCTCTCAAGTCCACACCCTACAGTCTCCTCCTCACAATGACTATGCTTTGGCGGTGCTTCAGGAAAAACAAGGGTTTAACGCATCAAAGTAATTTCCCCAAACGGCCATAATACATAATAATAAACTGAAAACTGACTGACTGCAGTGATAAAATAAGGGAGAGACAAGTTTTAAGTTTATTTTTAAATGAGTATCTAATATGTGTATTGATCAACTAAATCCTGGTATGCGGGCAGGTTTATCTGGGCTTGCTGCAACCCTAACTAAAGTCATTATTCCTTCTGAATAGGGGGAATCTGGATCAGACATTTCTGGGCAGACATCAACTAGGTGCTGTAGATCTGTGACGCTGCACAGAGGAAATTCCAGACTGAGCGTTTTGACTGGCTTTCCAGCTGGATGCTGCTGCACGGCTCAAAACTGACGGAAAGCCAGCTGGAGACCCGCCTCACGACCTCTTGAATTTCCTTCTCCCACGGATGAAGGTAGGTTACCAGCTTCCAGCCACCCAACGGCCAACACGAAACATGTCAAATTTAACACCGCAGCGGTCTCCGTCCCCGGGGGGGACACACCAAAGCGCCGTTTTCCCTGGTTTGCCTGACTGCTCTCAGAAGGAAAGCCATCACCCCAGGGCGGCTGCACGGACAGCAACTTCTGCACCAGCCAGAACCGGCCAGCGCCAAGACACGTGGACCGGCGACGCGCTAAATCAATCCTCGTGCACGCCAACACCAGAAATTAACTCGATCTACCCCCCTACTCGAGCACGCTGATGCCTCGACGGGACCCGTGCAGCTCACGCCCGCTGCGGTGGTCGCGCCTTACCTTGCACGCCGGTGATGGTGACGGGGACTCCCTGCACCTGCACGCCGGCGGCGCCCAGGTTGGCGATATTCACGGTCTGGATGTTGGGCACCGACGTCAGCTGCGCCGCGCTCAGCGTGATGGGGGTCCCGCTGAGGGCCAGCGGGGTGATCTGCGCGAAGGAGCCCCCGCTGGCGCTGGTGGTCACGGGCGTCAGGGTGAGCTGCGGCGCCACCCCGGCGCTCTGCACCTGCACGCCGGGCGAGAGGCCCTGGATGTTCTGCAGCTGCACCGTCTGCCAGCTGATCTGGCCGGACGGGGTGAGGGTCGGCGCCCGGATGAGCACCTGGGCCGGGCTCTGCACCGCCTGGAGCTGCAAGCTCTGCAGGGCCTGTCCGGGCTGCAGCTGGATGGCCTGCGGCGAGAGTCCCTGGATGAGCTGCTGCTGGGGCTGCTGGGGCTGCTGGATCTGGATCTGCTGTAGCACGGGCTGCCCCACGATCTGCACCTGCTGGATCTGACCCGGCGGCTCCGGCTGCAGCCCGTTGGACTGGACCGGGCCCGGGGGGTCCGGCTCGGCCGGCGGGGCGCTCTGGGGCTCCGGCTCCGAGGACGCGCCCTCGGGAGCGGCGGTGTCCTGTCCGCCCTCCGCCGGGGCCGCGGCCAGGGTGTCGCTGCTGGGCAGGGCGGCGGAGGTGGCCGTGCAGGTGGGAGTGGCGGGGGATTCCTGCATGGTGCTGACAGCCGTGGACAGGGGCGTGGAAACCAGCTGGCTCCCATTGGAGACCCCGGCGTCGGGGGGCTGGACCAGCTGGACAGACCCTCCCCCGGCGGCCACGTTGTTGATCACCGGCAGAGCCAGAGTGACGCCGCCGATGTTGATGGGCACCGTGGTCACCACTTGCGTCTGCGCGCCGGGGATGGTCTGCAGCTGCAGCGGGAAGGACATGCCCGGCCGCAGCTGGAACGGGACGGCCGGGCCGGACGCGCTCTGGGCCACCAGCCCGGCCGAGGGCGCCCTGCTGGGCGCCGCGATGATCGCCTGGCCGCCGGCGGCCGGGATGAGCTGGATCTGCTCCTGCGGCACGCCGAGAGCCGCGGGGTGGCCGGAGCTGATGTGGATCTGCTGGCCGTCCACGGTCTGGATCTGCGGGATCACCTGATACTGGATGCCTCCGGAGGGGCTCTGCATGTTCTGCACCTGTATGACCTGGAGCTGCTGCTGCTGCCCGGCCGCTTTAACCTTCCTCCCGTCATTGCTGCTGCTGCTGCTGCACGCTGCGCTGCCGGCTCCGGCGGCGCTAGCCTGGGCGATGCTCTCCTTCGGGACGGCGGGGGAGGCTGCCACTATCTGCCAGCCGCTGCCCAGCTGCGTGGTGACCAGGTCCAGATGCTGGGGCGGGCTCTGCAGCTGGACGAGCCCCTGGTTCGGGTCGAGGATGAACTGCTGCTGGTGCTGCTGGTGCTGCTGCTGCTGCGCCGGCGCTTCTCCCGGAGCCCCTCCTATCTTACTGCATGTGGCGGCCAGCAGGGCGAGGGGAGACGGCTGCGCCTCCTATAACCACACAGGAGAGAGAGAGAGGGGGAAAAGCCAAGAAGTGTGGGCGGGTTTAAGGGACGGGAGGGGGTGTGAATTAAGAATTTGCACCGAGGGGTAAGAGAAAAAAAGACGCAAAAATGCATGCACTTGAGATAACTGGGGAGACGGAGGATAGATCAGTCCAGCGGACCAGGAAGGTGACGAACAGCAGACGGACACAGTCGGCTCCTCTATTACCAGAGCTGCGCCTCCACATAACGGGACTGTTTGACGGGGTTTTTTTTTTTAATCTTCCGTGGAATCAAACCCCCGTTCGCCAAGAATAACAACGGATGCGTTTTTTAAAAAACTGGTTTATTGTTCCCAAACCAAGACGGGGGAGGGGGAGGAATCTCCGATATATTTTTTGTTTTCTTTTCTTCAACAGAGCGCTGACAGGCAACAGCAGTAACACTGCAGCGACACACAAGACACACATGTAGCGCCTAAACGAAAGCAAAGAGAGTAAATCGTGCAGGAAGTGGTTTTTGCTAAATTGCAATGAAAAAAAAGCGAGACAGCTCGCTAGAAGCCTCCCTGCGATATTAATCTTATTACCTGGGATCCCGAAGTTTTGCCTTTATTAGCATAATCACCGCCAGATGATTTCCCTCCTTCTGACGACATTGTTTCCTTCTTTTGATCTGAAAAAATAAAACATGTTTTTTTAAAAAAAAACAATTGCTATTATTCTATCGTAGCCTTTCTTACGACAGCGGAAAAAAAGGAAGAGAACGCAAAAACTTTTCACTGCAATCAATCAAGGTATTTCTCATGCCATGGTCATCTTCCTTTTTTTTGGGAAATAAATAAATAAACGTGTTTCGAAACCCGACCCAATAGATATAAAGTAACACCCTAAAAGAGGTTGTCTCTTGCAGACATTAAAAAAAAAAGGCGAGCAGGTCAATCCGAGCTGCTGTTAAAACAGTAAATACATAAATATATTTTTAAAAAAGCTTTGGAAAAAAAAAAGGATGAGAGGGGAGCAGGAAGGAGGGAGGGGAAAAAGGAGGAGGGGAGGAGGGGAACGTACCGCTCATCCCGCATTAATAAAAACACAAGAGAGGAGTTGTTTAAGAAAAAAGGCCGGACGCTGTGGATCAGAGGCTGGCTGAAGCCCGGAGAAGGACGGCCTATTTTCCACGAATGAGTGCTGTGGGGCTGTGGCGTCGCTCCGCGGCCGCGGCAATCGGCAGGCCCGGCTGCTCACAGACACTCCCGCCGGGAAGGGCGGCGCTTAGCTCGCCCGAGAGGAGGCCAGGCTCCGGACACCCATCTGTCACCCACGGGGGTCCCGGCCCGCTAACGGCCCGCGAAGCACTCCGTGTCGGGATCCGCTCGTCTCATTCCGGGCTGCTCCACCCCCCCCCGTCCCTGCGTAATTAATATTTAATACGTCCGAGTGCAAGTTTTCAATTACGGCGGCCGCGCACGGGGCCCACCCACTCGCCAGGGCCGCGCACAGCCGAACCTGAAGGCCCCCGGAGGGCGACGCCCCCGCTCGCAGAGCCCAGCTCAGCAGGCGGCGGGCCCCGTCGTCGGCCCGTACCGCCGCCCGCACGTCTACTGCCAGCCCGCCCTCCTGCCCCTTACAGCAGAGCCGCCAGCCCCCGGTCCGGCAAATTAGCGCTGTTTTTCTGAAACAGAAGAGAGGAGCGGTCTTCTCTGATGGGCGGACGTCCCGCCCCCCTTCCCCTCCCCGCCGCATTCAGATTGGCTGTGGGGGGGGGAGCCGCCGCTCGCGAAGGGAGAGCCGGGAGTTGTATTTTTTAACGGGCGAGGTTGCGCCGGCTTTCACAGCTCAATGGACTACAGGTCCCGATATGCAGCGCGTTGGGAGGGGGGGGGGAGGTGGTACGTGGAATCAAGCTTGGTTGAGGGGAGAGGGGAAGGGAGGGATCGGTGTTTATTGTGGGGGTTGGGCAAAAGTGACAGGGGAGGTGGGGAGGGACGGGTGTCTGGTTTTCTCCCAGCCTCTGGGTGACTCCTTCAGGATTGTGCCATGTGGAGAGAGCGGGACCTGTTGCTTCAGGTCTCTGGTTTCTTAGTGCTTCGCGAAGACGCCGAGTGTCTATAGACCGTCAAAGCAGAGTCTGTCTGGTTTAAATCACAGTCCTCGCCTATTCTGCTCTTCTTTTATAGAAAATATAATCAGGATGTTCTTATTTCTTATTTAAGTGTTAAGGCATGATGGTAGTGGAATGTCTTTTGCACTCATCTGAGTAAAATACAAACTTCTAGTTCCACATTTTAGGTCGAATGCGTAGTTGTGAGATGAAATAAACATGAAAACGTCTTGCATTGTTTTACTTTAAGGGAAAAAAGTATAAAAAACGATAAAGTCTCATAAAAAGATATATTTTTTTAATTGCACGCTTCTGTGTCCCCTGTGTCACGGGAATAGATTTAGGAAATCTTTCACTACCTATGCAATCTCTCTCTCAACATAAAGGAACTCCCTTATCTTCTGAAACACTGCTGTACTGTATCTGTTGATGATGTTGTTGATGTATTGCTGTATTTGACTTTGACATAAAACATTTTTCCCCAGAAGATAATAAAGCTTGAATTGGATTATTGTACAACTATCACATAAATTCAGCCCCCTACCTGAATGTCTGGCTTACCTAAATTTGGTGCTTGATTCAACTTTGATTTAACCTCCTAATCTCATGGACTGCCTCTATTATAGAACAAAAAGTGTCCTAATGACACCTGAAAAAGGCTCCATAGCAGAAAAGTTGTGTCTCTTTTCTTCTCTTTTCAGCAGGGAATACACCTTTAAATGTTCCTTTGCAGCCTAAGCATTCTGACCCAGCTGCCTGCTTGAACTTCTTGTGCCACTATTGGCATTTTCTGGAGAATGCGTGTGCTAGGAAGTTTTAAAATATCTAAGAATGCTAGATAAGAAGAAATGCAGTTTGTCCAGCATTTTGTAAAAACAAAAATCATATTAAATACTATCCCGGACGAACTCAACTCGGGTATAGGACTGTTACAGGACATTGTTTTCTAGCTTGAAGTGGACACCAGAAAGGTTGGCCCTGTGTAGCCTCTCGTCCAGCCTGGCTGGTGACGTCTCTGAGAGACTGCCCAGACAGAACCTGTCTTTAAGCTGTTAAACCCGGCCAGCTCACTCCGAGACACACTGAGTTCTGCTTTTCCCAGACTGATTGCTAATGATCTCAGCACCCTCCCTCTGCCCATCTATCACTCAGGCCTGGCCAGGGTCAAGACAGCCCAGAGTTCACCCACAAGGTGGGGCTGCACTCCCTTCTCAAGACGCCAGGGCCCACACAGACACACACATACTGTGCTCAAACGTGCAAGAAGAACTTGGAGAAGCATATTCATCTAGTCCGCATGAACGTGAGGGATGTGGGAATGAAGCAGAGCACTTGGAAAACACTCCCACATGCACAGGGAGGGGGCAGCAAACTCCATAGCAGAAGTCACCCCAGTCTGAAGTCAAGCCCAGGGTTCAAGAGGCAGGAGACAGCGGATCCCGATCTCAACCACGTGGAGGTTAATTTAAGACACGGAATCAATCTGCTGTTTGATCTCATGTCCCAGAGAGAAAAAACGCGCATGGAGCCCACAGGTGTCAGGGACCACAGTGACCTTAATGTTGCATTGAATGGCCAGTGTCTCCATAAGGGTGGTCTGTCCTTGTTCTTGAGCTTCCCATTGATCAAAGGTCCTTCTTGCCCAGGTGTATGTGCGTGTATGTATGTGTATCTGCATGAGGACGTGCAATTATGTGTATGTGCCTATGGGCATGTGCGTGTCTATGTACATGTATGTGTGTGCGCGTGTGTATGTGTGTATGTGTACAGTGAGCCCTGGTTAAGGGCTCTGGAAATGCAGTCTACACCACAGCTCTTGGGGGTCTGTATGGTTCTTGTACTGCTCTGTGAGAAAGTGCCTTTGGTGGTTCTGCGTGTTGGGTGGGCAGTTATAGAAACGGGTCCTGTGTGATGGGTAGAGTGATGAACTCTAATAAAAAGTGTAATTATGCAGGATGACTGCATGACTGCAGTCTGCTCTGTGAGTGCACTGGTGGTCCACGGAGATATAGAGATATAAAGAGCCTGTTATGTGGGGAAAAGGGTCCTAGTATGCTGAAAATTGCTAGGTGGCGAAGTCGGCTACAAAAGCTTAAATTATCCAGCGCTAAGGGGGTCAACATCTGTGGCAGTTATTTGTGTACCCTGTTTCTATAAAATAGACTTCATTCAATCCAGTTCAACAATCCTATAAGGAAGTATTCTTGTATAGTGCTCTTCATGCCTAGGTATCCCAGAGCTCTTTAAAAAATATTTAAAAAAAAACATATGCAAGATTTCATTAAATAAGAGACTAAGAAACAGAGCACCTGTAAAGACACTGCTGCTGTCTAAGAGCGTCTGAAGCATACTGGGGGGGTGCAGCAGGTTAAAGATGTCTGTGTATCAGACTTCACGGAGTGTAGTCAGTAACCTTTGATGTGGGGCTAGTCCCGACCCATGGAGGACCTTACCTGTTATACTGTAGTTGTTACCTTGATGTCTGCTAAAAAAACCACACGGGTAACCAGTGCCAAGACTCCAGCACTGCGGTGAGGGGCTCAGAGACCCGGCCCGGCTTCGGGAACCCGCTGCAGCCAGCTGAGCGAGCCGCGTGGCTCTCCGGCAAGTAAGGATCCACGGCAGCCAAGTGACAAAGACACGAGCAACGTCCTGCTCAGCCTGCCACGGAAATCTAATTACAGATGGACAACGCCCATCAAATGGAAGTCCGACGTCCCCGGGACAGGGAGACGGAATTATTGTTATTATTTTCATTAAGAGACTTTTGATCATCTGGGTTTAAGCACAGCCTCAATCTTGTCACTGTTCATCTTTAGAAGGTTGTAGTGCATCCATATCTTAATATCTGATAGACACGTGTCAAGTGAAGAAACCGTAGTCTTGCAGTGCCTGACGTGATCTGGAACTGAATGCGAGTGTCCTCAAATTCAAATTCAACACACTTAATTAGAATGTCCGATAAATTACAGTTTTGACAAAGCAGATGCAATTAACAGAACATTTTTCGGAAGTTTATAAATGTTATTGAACAGTTACATACATCACATAAAACATTATTGCGGGACAGGCTCGCTGTCTGCTCCTCAGGCTGGGACAGGAGAGAAGATCCCAAGCAGCCAGCTCTATCGAGTTCCCACCCCCCTCCCCCAGTAGGACTGGGAGCTGTTCTGGTTCTGGCAGGTGTGGGGATTCTGGGATTAGATTTGTTATTTTAGGGAAGAATGTTTGTCTAGTGCCAGAGTATTTCTCACACTGCAGCAGAAAGTGCATCTACGTCTCTGCTTCTCCTAGCTGGTAGAGGGAGCACAACCTAATCTCTCTGGACATCCAAGTGTGCCTGTCTCCAGTTTCTATGCCCAAAATGGTGTCATTGAGCCTGTACTTTGTCAGGGACTGTTTCTCCTTGCTGTCTCTTACTAGCTAGTGTTTAGGGTCCTGTAGCATTCAGGTTTGTGTTGTGTTTGTGTGTGTGTCCCAGTGGGTAAGGCAGTGTTGTCTGGCTTGTGCTGTGATTTGGTTGACTTGGATCTGTGTTGTTCTTGTTGGCCTGGGGTTAGCCAGTGTCTCAGGAGCTCTTCTGTGGGCTACATTCTTGGCTTAGCAGGGCCTTGCCATGTAGGAATTCTTATCACTGTTTCTCAGGTGTGGCCAATATTGTATTGCGATTGGACCCCACACTTCATTGTCATACAGGACTATGGTTTGAAAATATATTGTTACAAATGGGTGGTTACTAAAATGTTGAAAATCAAGAATTGACTGAACGGTTTAGTCAATGAGTGAAATAATTATTCATAACCCCCAACTTGAAAGTGATTTCTATTAATAAACCCGGCTGGTATAATTAGAGGCACATGAATTCTTTGTTCTCTGGCTCAGCTGTGGTGAGAGGAGTAACAATCCAGACACACTAGGTTAAACAAATATTTATTAAAATGACTATAATACAAACTACACTACACACTACAAAACATATAACACACAAGTTAGTCTACTGTATGTACAGTATTTACAAACAAGGCATTCTGGTCACCCAAAAAACTCCAGACTGCATGGAAAAAACTTCCATGCAGACTAAGCATTAAACTCCTAATGCCTACAGAGGCCACATAAGAGATAAGCTGCCTTCTAACTACAATGCAACCTGCAGTTAAATCTCTCTCTCTCTCTGCACCCTGGATGCCACAAAATAAATAGGAGCCTATATCCCTATCCATAAAAATGCACCCTAAGCAGGAAAGACATTTCTAACTGAGGTATCTTTTACCCAGGAAACCCAAGTTCCCTAAAAACACAGAATAGCAACCTTTCTCTTTAGTAAGGTTCCGGTCAGGTTTGGTTTGCATGACCATGAAGTAGGGGCTCTCGCTGGGCACAATCTGCAAGTCCCCACTCCTCTCTCCTCTCTCGTCTTCCCTTCTTATTGTTTCTTCTTTTACTTTTGTGTTCTTCATGTGGTCTTATATTGTGTGTTTCTGTACTGCTCGTTGACAATCATTAAGCCAGAACTTACCTAGGTACAGTATACAAAGATAATCTTTACAATTGTTTCTGCTCATCGGACCCCCCAGACATCAGCAGATATCCTTTCAGCTTTGAATCTAGAAGTATTTTCTCTTCC